ATATAACTCAGATTGGACCTTATAGCCTCTTCTACTATTGAGGTAAACAGACACAGGGGAACTTGGTTTCATCTTTTTCCAAAAGTGACTTTGTGCTTCACTTTCTACACATATGATAGTAAAATAGTCGAACTGGTGGTAATCTGAGTGATTATTCCAAGTTCAGCGTGAAGGATTTGCCTCTCCCCTCTTGGTCCATTCTTTCTATGTATACAAAGATAGAATAGGAAGGCTTGCCCCCCCCCACCCTGTTTTCCCAGATGCATCCAGATGTCAGGCAAACAACCAAAGTTATGTGCAGACTGCCTGATATAGGCAGGGCAATCTACCTAAACCTGGCTTTAAACATTCCATCGTGGGCCCCATGTGAGAGGCCCCCACCTCCCTAGACCTAATGGCTTTTTCATTAGCCTCTGCCTCCTTGCTCAGACCTTGTAAAACCCCAATTTCTATCCCACCTTTCCACACAGTCTCCCAGCCTGTGAGGGGAAGGTTGTGCCCCTCACTGCTATATCTCAATAAACAGTTCTTGCCTGTGGAAGATGGAGTCCTGCCTGTTTCCTTTCTTTCTCCTCCATTTCCCTAACACAGAGTTCTGCATTCCTAGGAAATTCAGATTAAACTAATTTGCTCTACATGGAAACATGTATCCCTTTTACTCCCCATACATCCATGTGTCAGTTAAAATTAACAGGGACTACTGGCTAGCTGCCTTCATATCTGGAATTTCCATTAGGTTCTTGGACAGAGATAGTGCAAGATCCAGCAATGAAACAAAACAAAACAAAACACAGCTTTTGGAGCATGACACACTTGGATTTGAATCCTGGCTCTCTTTCTTTCCAGCTGTGTGGCTTTAATGCAGCAATTTCCTTTCTAAACCTTGGACTCTTTAATTTGAAAAAAATGTTGCACGTACTTACATGTACTTTGCAATTATTTGGGGGTAAAGATATAAATGAAAAGAAAGCTATGCATGCAATAGGAGGGCAATTGAAAAAGATTGTGATGAACTCTAAATTTGATTATATTACAGTAGAGTACATGAAATAATCACCATATATTACAACCGTATGACAAATTAGATTTTTATATGGTAGTTATTGTAGAATAATTTCCTATGAGTCAGAAAGTCAGGAATATAAATGAAATTCTATTTTATGTTTGTTATTGTAAAAATAGTGTACAATAAACAAAATTCTTAATTCTCATGTTTGAATCACCATGTGAAAGGGTAGAAAAAGTCTTTGTTGAGTGAAAGCAGCTTTGGATGGAACTGATTCCCCGTTGATTCTTTTTATGTGACATTTGTGTGTTTAACATTTTGACTTTATGCCCAGCTCTGTGTCAGTTTAGTAGAAGAGATGAAAAGCCTGTGTGAGGGAAAATTCATATCTCAGTTCTGCCCTGGATCCTACTGTACTAGCTACCACCAACAGCTTGGAACTGAGGATATTCACAGTTTCAGTCCAATAGTGGCAGCAATGTGGAGGGAGCAGAGGGAAGGGGAGGACAGGCAAAGAGCCACACACAGAGATGGGAGTTGAGACACTGAAGGAGAAGGAAGTATATCAGATGTGTGCATGCATGCTCATACACACACACACACACACACACACACACACACAATGCACACCGACTACTGGAGCTTGAACTCAAGGCCTGGGTGCTGTCCTTTAGCTGTTTTGCTCAAGGCTGGCACTCTACCATTTGAGCCACAGCTCCACTTCTAGTGTTTTGGTAGATAATTGGAGATTAAGAGTCTCAGGATTTTATTGCCCAGGCTGTAGTTAAAATTACAGGCATGAGCTACAGGTATCTGGCTCAAAAGAGTTAACTACTTTCATTGACCTTGGCCTTGCCCTCTACTAGAGGCTTATTGGCTGGTCTGCTTACTTCCCCTGTCCCTCCTCTGGCTGTTCTTTCTCTGCTTGAGATGTTTTCTGCAGATATGTACAAGGCTCACTGCCTCACATCATCTTTCTGATGTTCTTAAATGTTCTCTTAATAGCTTACCTGACCACACTTCAGATAAATAATGTCTCATCCTCAATCCCTTTCTCTCTCCTCTCTGCTCTCTTATTCTGTGTAACTGTTTCTCAATTTTCATTGTGTATAAGAATCACCTGCGGATTGGATTGGATTGAAATGCAAATCAAGATTCAGTGAGTCTGGAATAGAGCTAGAGATCCTGCATTTCTAATCAAGACCATTTGGACCCATCTGGAGATTCTACTCAGTAACATTTATAATGGAGAGAATATATTTTTTATTAGTTTATCATCTTTTTCCTCCAATTAGAGCATGCTTCATGAAAGGAAGGGCTGACTTTCTCCATGCTTAGTTTTCAGCACCTAGTCTGATGCCCAATACATAGAAGCCACTTCATAAATATTTATTAAGTGGATGAATTATATATTTTCCTAGGAATCAAAAGTGGAATTCTTGACTTTAAAAACTTTTCTCTCTCTATTATATATTCATTGTGCTGGGGGTTTTCTTGTGATACATATATATATATATACAATAGTATCAAATTCACCCATTCTATTACTATTTCTTATTTCTATCACTCTTTTAAACAATTTTAATAGGTTTCATTATTCAATTTTTATATTCAATTTTTATATGTAGTTATCAATCCATTTGCTATTAGAAACTTCAACATTACATTTAGGGATACTATTTCTTCAATAGGTTTTTGTGTCATAGCTTTAGGATCTTCCTACTGTAGTTTCCACAGTTATCCAGGCACCTAGCCAGGAGGTGGTGACTGTCCACCCAGCTCCATGGCCTAGAAGTGAGACAAGCCCTTCTTTGAATTGCAGGTGCCTGGCTCAATGGGTAGAGCCAGGAGGACCCAGCTTTGGAGAATTTGTAGATATTGTGTTGTTTAGCCCCAGGGAGGCCTTGCTCCTTGTGCTGTGTTACTATATAAAGTTTTGCTGAGTCTTAGTCTCCTCCCAACATGTAGCCTTTGTCTTTAAAAGCTTGGTGCTAGCTCTGTTGGGGGCTGCTGGTCTTTGAGACAAGGGTCTACCATGCAGTCCCAGGCTTTTGAGTAAAGACTCCAAATTTAATAAAGACTACAGATCTAACTTCCTAAATTGTGACATCTCTGTATCCTGCTTATCAGATTCTCTTATAACAGCAACACATGTAGAGTAGTTAAATGGGAGCGTAAATCCAATGTGCAGATTTCAACAAGCATATAAAAAATAACTGGGATATAATCTCTTCATGGTAACCCTGAGTCTGAGGCTGAACATATAATAGACAACTAAAGAACAAACACCAATAAATGATGGCATACGAATGACCTGGTCATATATGCAAAGGGAACCAAATATTACAGCTCATAAATGGAAATAAACCAAACATAATTAGTTGAATATAAACCCTGGCATAGCAATTTTAATGACCCAGGTTGACAAAAACCCACTTTTTTGCATATCTTTTTCAAATCTTTAATGTTATCAAATCTAACTGCTGACTGCTTAGAATTCTTAGGGGGCACATCATTGTCCGAACATTGCACAGCTTCTTTTAACACTAGTATTGAATTGTGACTAGGCCATGCTTGTTGTAATCCTTCACAGTTCATTGTACTTCCTTGATATTTGTGTGTGTGTGAGTATGCACGCTCGTGCTCACGGGCACACTTGCGGCTCATAAGACTAAAATCATCAATTTCACCAGAAGAACCAGAGTCAGGCTTTCCTGCTTCAATCATTTCAATCATTTGATCTTTTAAAAAGAAAAAAGGAAAGAAAAGTGCCTCCCTCCCAAAGATGTTTTCAGTTTTGTCTAATTATTGATTTGGTACAGCCAAGAAGTTTTCTGGGTTTTTTTTCCCCACTGAGAATCAAAGCCAACATTAAGATTTTCATGAGATTTCGTGCATCCCTTCTATCAACAACTGAATAGGAAATAGAAAAGACTGAACATATGCAATGAAAACAAGTTCAAGACACAGCTAAATGAAGAAACATCCCTCCCCTAAGTTAACGTGTAGTAAAGTTCATTTCTTCTTTTTTGTTTGAACTCAGAGTGGAAGAGGTTTTTTGTTTGTTTTTGTTTTGTCAGTTGTGGGCCTGAACTCTGGGCCTGGGTGCTGTCCCTCAGCTCTTCAGCTAAAGGCAAGCGCTCTACTACTTGAGTCACAACACCACTTCCAGTTTTTCTGGTGGTTAATTAGAGATAAGAGTATCAAGGACTTTCCTGGCCAGGCTGGCTTTGAACCATGATCCTCAGCCTCCTGAGTAACTAGGATTACAAACATGAGCAACCAATGCCTAGCTAAGAGTTTTTAAAATTGATTCCAAATGGGACAGGAGAAGTACTAGAAGGGTTGTGTAACTCTGTGGTTAAGTGTGATTTTTGTAGGAATACTTGAAGAATATTGTCTAAATGATACATAATCCAAGAGATGGACTTAGGTATTCAGCCTTATTAAATACTCCAGTGCTTCTGACTGATTAAACAGCATGCTAATGCTTGGATACTAGGAGTTTAGGTTATTTTTTGTGTTCCTTACCAGGAATCATGTACATTCCCAGCCAACAAACAAACAAACACACTCTCAAGTTGACAATCCACTCCCAAGGAACAGCCCATGAGCAATGGATGGCTCTATGGGGAAGACAAAGTCTTTCCTGCAGTTCAGAATAGCTGCAAAGCTAGCTTACAGCTTCAGGCTCTTGTGAAACTAACTGAGGTGTCTGTTGAAGCCAAATTGCATGTAGGTATCTCTCTCCTCTCCTGCCCTCAACTTGTTTCTTCAGAGAACACTCCTCAGGAAACTTTTGCTTTACAATACTTAAGAGTTCATTTCCAAGGAACCTAGTCTAAGACATTTTGCAGAGTAAACCATGTAAATATTTGTCGCTATCTACAGTATCAGAGAAATATTTCTCCCCGCTTTTTTGTAGAGATTACATCATCACATTGCTTTTGAGCAAATAGCTAAAACAAAAGAGAAGGAGATGCAGTGTACTTACAGGCTCTAGTAGTAGACAGTCCAGAAGCGAGGTCAGGCTGTTTTGCTTTCAGCTCTCCAAGTAAATGCTTTACTGCTTCCCACTCAGAGCTCAAATCTTCTAATTTCCTCTTTAAAAGAAAAGTGTGCATGTTACTGATTTAATTAACACCTTGAAGATAATTCATAAAGTTATTAATTCATTTTGTGAATTTATTATTGGATTTATATTATACTTCTAATTTTTTTCTGGGTAGAATTCCTTTCAGTGGAATTATAATTATTTTAGCTAACAACCCTACAAATATATATTGATTTTTTTTCTGCTACATCTTAAAGTCTTCCTCCAGGCACAATCTCATGTGAAAAAAAGTGGAGTGCAAACATTAGTGAAAACAAAACAAACAAAAAAACCACCCTCTCTCAGCATGTAGCCTGACTTTTAAATAGTGTCTATGGTGGTTTCATATTGGAATCATCTAGATGACTTAAAAAAATCTTAGTGCCCCAGCTTACCCCTGATCAACTGTAACCGAATATCTTGGAGAGAGAGGCTATGAATGAACATGGGGACATACTGCCGAGAGACCTTTCAAGGTTGGGCTTCTGTTGTATGTGGCAGAAATGATAGAGGCAGGTATCCATCAGCTGTCAGTCCTTACAGAAATGGCCATCCGTTTTAGTGGGTGCATCACCAAGGGCATTCCCTGAACTTATTCAATTACTAATTAAGGTGATGATGAAAAGGTGTAGCTAGTTCAGAACTCCTCATGGATTCTCTCAGCTCTTTATATGCTGATATACACTTAACACAACTGGCTCTCTGTGGTGGTGAGAGGACACACTTTTAGTGTTTGCTAATTTATATGGTATAAATATTCATACAGTTACCAAGATCAAATCAAGTGACTTATAAAATGTCTGAAAAATCTAACAATAGGGGTTGGCTCTAGCACACAAATCACATGATTATTCTTTTAAAATGTAGAGTTTGATTTGGATTGGCTACCAGATAGCAAATATATTAGTTATACCTAAGATAGATTAGAGAAAAGGAGGCATGGAATTGCTGCCAGGAATTCAAAGGTATCTTAAGCTTAAAGCAAATATAGGAGATATTTATCCACCTGCTTCTTTTAAGATTAAGGGACTGAAGTCATGATAGGGAAAATGAGGCAGGATAAATTTGGGAAAACAGGGCCTGGTAAAGGTAACTCAGAAACAAGGCATGTAGAAACTACCTTTGGTTCGAAGAAAGACAATAGGATGCCTTCCAGGTCTCAAGGATAGGCATCTGTTTTTTGGCAGATTGCATTCTTACCTGTAAGAAATGCCCCCAAATATCGAGGACCTCAGAAATTGTAACACCAGGAGTGATTAGAGGGAAGATAAAACACCTATTTTTGCATAACAATGAAATCAGACCTTTGCCTTTATCCAATAAATACCCCTAATGCAAAAGAGCTGGCCTTCTCTCCCTTTAAGGATACTCACATTCTGTTAGTATACCCCTGCCCTTCTGCTTGTCTGTCTGTTTTGCTTGCTTGCTTACTCAATTAAGCTCCGCCAGGTTTTCTTACCATTATGACCTGTCCAGAAACTCTTATTCTATGATCGAAGTTAAGGACCTTAGTAAAGAGTCCCTACTTTTAGCGGGAAACTTCACAACTTCATAAACCCTCACCTGCATCCAGTGACATACCCAGTTGAGTGTGAGCAGAAGTGAGGTCTGTCAGTTCTGGGCTGAGGGTTTTAAACATGAGTAAAATTTATAAATTCTTTCCCACTTTTGTATTGACAAGAAGCAGAAGACCAGGGTCCTATGGTAAATTTCTAAGACTATCAGGAGTTAAGCCCTAATCCCGTGTGCACTGGGTACTTTAGGATCAAGAATATGACCTGAAGGCCATGACAAAACACTGATGGCTTGGTCCTAGACCTAGGATTGGAAGCTCAAGAATTCACATGTCAAGCCATTTTGCTAAGTGATGCTGTCACTGATTGTTCATAACTAAAGCCTAAAGTATTCATTTTAGCTAATAAATTATCTGAGCATATACAAGGTACAAAGTATGCACCATCGTTGGCAAAATAAGGAATAAGGAAACAGGTCCTTAGATAATTTATGACAGAACATAGTTTGCTTGAGAAATGCTAGTCTGGGAAAAGCTGTGAAGGGAATGCCAGAGCCAAAAGATGGTCCTAATCTAGGTTTCCAAAATAACACAGGCAGGAAAGCAGCTTGGCTAGGAATTCATCTGCTGTACTATCATGCAAACAATAAAACAAATAAAACTACAAACACCCTACTGTTTTCACTTTGTGAAGCCACTGAAATGTTCTGTTAAAACTGGGAATATGTTACTAATACAGAATTAATACTATTACAGACTTTACAAGTACATACCAAGGGTTAACAGCAGTCTATTTATACAGCTACAAATTTCTATATGTATATTGTGGGGAATACAACTAATTGTGCTGCTAATGGAATGGGTTAAAATAAATAACAGAATTGCATTTCTGTCTGAGGCATTTGAGTTAGAAGAGCCAGAAACTACAAACTTCTTAAAAAGGTGTTGAACAACTAGAAATGGTAATGAACCCAACGAGAATGTTATATATCTCTTTATGTATCTATCTATCTATCTATCTATCTATCTATCTATCTATCTATCTATCTATCTATCTATCTATCTATCTATCTATCTATCTATCTAATGTTGTGGTTTCGTTCTAATGCTAATCATTAATGCAATGCTAATCGCTTCAATAAAAAGATTCATCTATTTATGTATTATAGAAAATAATCTCTTCTCCTATTTATGTATTGTAGAAAATAAATGTTCAGCTGCTACTGTATGCTAGTCTTTGTACAAGTTACTAAGCTTAGATTCAAAACTTTGGCAAAGTAGCAGGTTATAAAATTAACCCCCAAAAATCAATGGCTTTTCTGTATGCCAACAATGAGAAAAGTGTGGCTAAAATTAGGAAAGCAACTCCATTTGTAATAGCCCCACAAAAAATAAAATACCTAGGAATTAACTTAACTAAAGAAGTGAAGGACC